GGAGCGAAAGCACCCTAAAAAAAAAACCCCCAAAAAAAAAAAAAAAAAAAAAAAGAAAAAAGAAAAGAAAAATAATAATAATACAGTACAAAATGAGCAACTGATACTGAGGGAAGTTTAGTAAAGGAACGACCAGGGGCCCGAGGCAGCCCAGCAGTAACGGCACTCGCCCCACCTGGGAAAGTTCCTGGGTTCCCTGAGCACGCTGGGCACGTGTGCATACTTGTGACTGGGGGTGGATCACGGTGTGGGGACCCTGCTGGGGTCCCTGTCTGTCTGTCCCTCTTTTATGTAAGAAATACAGAAAGCAAGAAATCATCCCCCAGGGGGGACGGCCACACCACAATCCCTTCTCTTCCATTCTCCTCTTGGGATCTTGGGCACACATGTCCATGCCCCTGGTGAGTTTTAAGCCACTGGGTCTGGGACTCAAATCAGAGTCAACTACGTGGGAGTCCAGAGACATAATCATTACGCTATTTGCTGGTCCCAGAGATAAATTTCTAAAAAAGAAATGCTCGGATGAAAACGGCCAGTACTTGGCACCTCAGCAAATCTCTGCTGACTGAGGGAATGAGGGCCTGGGAGCTGGAATGGGCCCTGGAAGAGCCTTCGGCGAGCATCTGTGGGGGCAGTGACAGAGGCCAGGGAGGGAGCACCATCCCCACACACAGTTCCTTGAGAAAAGTGGGCCTAGAAGTGGCAGAACGAAGCCGGCCAGGGAGGAGGGGGCGGTAATCAAAGGGCCTTGAAGGCAAAACAGCAGAAAGCCTGGACTCGATGGACAAGCGCAATTTTAGGCGTTTCATGACGGGCTGGGAAGGCTGTTTCTCGGAGTCAGGAAGGAGCGAGCGTGCAAGACTTTAGGTTAAGGAGAGCGTGGGCGCAAACAAGGGAATGAAGGAGAAAACAGGAAGAACCGGCTGAAGTAGGCAATGGGCTGAGCCCCCGGGTGGCGGGGACGTAAGAGAAGGAGCTGAGGAACATGAGGCAGGGAAGATGGAGACACCACTCACCAAGGAAGGGGCACCCAGAGTTACAGAGCGCTCGCTGGGAGTGGGAAGGACAGGAGAGAGGCCAGTGCTAGCCTGAGAGGGGGGACGCGGTAAGGACTCTTCTCCAGATGGGCCCACGCTTCCTGAAAGCCAGGACAGAGCTTCAGGCTTCTGAGCTTCTCAGAGAGCAGGCCCGGGAGGGGCCTGGACAGAACACCTCACACCTTTCAGGATTCTGGGCACACACATGCATGCATGTGCCTGGCCACTGTGTTTCTAAGCCACCAGGTCCGGACTCAAACCATGGAGTCAGTCATGTGGGATCTAGCCAGCATAACCACCACTCCATGGGCTAACCCAAGAAAAGAAAATTTTTTTAAGTTCTATTACCACACTGAATACTAATTTACTTGTGTATAAGGAACAAAGAATAGTGATTGTATTTATTTTCTTCACGAATAATTATTTTGGCTAAAATAAAACAATTTAGCACGCTGGTATGTTAATTAATGCACACTGTGAGGAACTGACATGGCTTTTGAGAAAGACAGAGACAGAGACAGGCGGACACACGGTGTTCCAGCCCCAAGAGCCCATTCTACCACAAATTCCTGGGGTCTCTGAGCATATTTAATGTCACTGAGTTTTCCCACCTACAAAACGAAGTGTTTGGACAAGCTGATTATTCACACATCTTCCTCCTCTAAATTTCTATAATTTAAGACTGCACTTTTGTAGCTTTTTTTTTTTTTTTTACATTTATTTGTTTATTTATTTGTTGTGATTTCCAAGCCACCAGGTATGGGATTTGAACTGTAGTCAACCATGTGGGAATTCAGCACCTTCATCACCATGCTACCTGCTGGTTTTCTTTCTTTCTTTTTTTTTTTGGAGAGGTTTTTGCTATAGGGCACGTGTGCTTGCCAAAAAGACAGAGAGAAACAGAGAGACAGAAAGTGAGAAATCACCCCACAGGAGGGATGGCCACACTGCAATCTCTCCTCTCAGGGTTTTGGGCACACACGCACAAGCACCCGGTGTGAGTTTAAGCTAATGGATCCAGGACTCGAACCGCGGTCAACTATACTGGAGTCTAGCAACATAACCATTATGCCAACTATTGGTCCCCCTATAGATTTCTTTTTAAAGGTTATATTAGCTTCAAGGCACTCAGTCAACACAGACAAAAAGCAGAGCAGGCCAGAAAGTGTACACGACACAGTTCCCTCAGCAGGCAACGGCGCTCTCTATTCTGTTTCTTGGGCATTCGGTTAACTCAGTGAGGCACGATTTCCACACGTCTTGCTATTTCCAGCCAATCAGAAGAAGACATATCACTCATAATAATTTTGACCGAGTCTTCCTCTAGGATAGAACTCAGCATAGGCACCCAGGGCGTCGCTTACCTTGAGGCCCCAGGCTTGACACCCAGCATGTCCCAGCTGTCTTTACTATTTCGAATTCTGCGGATGGTGTCTGCTTGCTCTTTGGTGAAACTAGCGCTTGCATTTGTGGTCGGACGCTTCCCGCCATTTTCACATAAATCAACGATGGACACGTAAAAGGTCTGCAAGGAGAGAGCATCTTGGAACAGATGGATTTTCTGAAAATAGGGATTCTTTTTAAACAAAGACTTTTAATATATTCTAATAACTCCTAAAAGTCATGAATAAAGCAAGTATGTACTTTGGAAGATATTTTTTCTTTCACACCATTTAAATATATACATATATTCATATACTTTAATTCAGGAAAAGTATAAGGAATAAAATTAAAATGGCTCATAAGCCTACTATCAGATAATCATACTTGAGGTTAAAAAGCAATAGATAAAAACTGTTGAAAAATTAAAATAGTAAAGATAAGTGTAAAATGAAAACTGTCTCCTTCTCCCTCAAGTTCCTCTCCTCAAGCTAATAACCATTGTTAATATTTTGAGTATTCTTTCAGAAAAATTTTCCGTCAGCGTAACAGGACACCCATACTCTTCAAACGCTTAATGTGAAAGAGATTAGCTTAAATATGTTGCTTAGCACGTTGCATTTTTTTCATATACTACATCTGGAGATTTTTTTTTTTTTAATTTGCTACATGGTGCATGTGTTCACCGAGTGGGGAGAGAGAGAGTGAGAAAGCACCCCCTGGGGGATGGCCATGCTGCAATCCCTTCCCTTCCGTTCTCTCCTTGGGATTTTGGGCATGTGTGTGCACACACAGGTACCCTGCATGTCTCTCAAGCCACAGAGCCCAGGACTCAAACCGCACACCAGCCATGTAGGATTCGGCCTCCTCAACTACCTTGCCACTGGCTAGCCTCACATCTGGAATCTTTCCATAACTATTTATAGAGACCTTCTGTGTTCTTGTTAATGACTGTTCAGTATTTTACATAGGGCTGTACCACAGATTTATTTAAATAGCTCTCTATTCTTGAATAACTTGGTTGTTTCTAGTCTTTTCCTACAGCGATTTAGTGTGTGGTTTTTTTTTGCGTGTGTATACATCTTGGTACTCTTGTGAGGATAGGGTTCTAGGATAAATTCCTAGAAGCAGAACCCTTGAGTAAAAGCATATGTGTATTTTAATTTTTTTTAAGAGAGAGTTTTGCTATAGGGCACGTGTGTTTGCTGGACAGACAGAGAGAGATGGACTCCAGAAATCACCCCCCAGGGGGGATGGCTTCGCTGTAACCCCTTCTCCTCCATTCTTCTCGTGGGATTTTGGGCACACATGCTCAAGCACTCGGTGTGAGTTTTAAACTGACAGGTCTGGGACTTAAACCATGATCAACTACATGGGAGTCCAGCAACGTAACTATTACTCCATCTGCTGGTCCCCCAAGTGCATTTTAATTTTTGATTTTGATAACTGTTGTCCAAAGGGCTGTACCAGTTTAGTCCCATCACTGTGCATGAGCGCGCCTACTTCCCACCTTCCTCAGGTTATTATCATACATCTTAATTTTTTTTTCTTTCTTTTAGTTTTTGCTATAGGGCACATATGCTCACCAGTACAGCCATCCCCCCTGAGGGGTCATTTCTTGCCTTTTGTCTCTCCAGTTAGCGCATGCGTCCTATAGCAAAAAATGCTAAAGAAAAAAAAAGGCACGTTATGTACAGAGGAATAAAGATAGATACTAATATCTCATAGGATGCAATGGAAGCCAGAAGGGAATGGATCAACATCTCCAAAATGCAGAAAGAAATTTAATTTCTAACAGTTTTTATTTATAAACCTTGGATAAGTCATTTGACTTCCCTTAGATGTCTGTATATATGAAATGAGAACAATACCTGTCATGTATTATTGAGCCTCAAATGAAAGCAAACATAATTCCCCAGAACTGTGAAACACTATTCAAACGGTTATGTAACACTATTACACAGGCATGTGCACAGATTCATGTAAGTGTATTGAGAGAAAGCATAGCCAACCAATAGCAATCTTAGCTGATCTTGAAATAGAAGCTACTGGGGCCCAATTCAGCCTGTCAGCCAAAGATGAAATCTGTCTTCAAGTAGAAAAGGTGATGTCTTGTGAGAAGGAAATTCAGCATAAAAGATTAAATACAGTCCCACTCAATAATTAAGAACAGTTCTTCACAGTATAGCTATATTATTTGGAATGCTAAAAATTCCCAAATATCACATAATCTTAAGAAGAAAAAATATATTATTCATGCCACCACTTATTTCCAAATGTAGCTATAATTAAGAGTTGACTGTATAATTTATTGTTTTAAATAGCCTACTTCCCTTAAAATTATCCAAGATTAGTTAAGTGCTTAAAAGTGATTATTGGGGGATTAGCGAATAGCATAATGGTTACGTTGCTGGACTCACACATAGTCAATGAGGTTTGAGTCCCAGACCTGACAGCTTAAAACTCACACTGGGTGCATGTGTGTGCATGCCCAAAATCCCAAGAGGAGAATGGAGGAAAAGTGATTGCAGCATGGCCATCGCCCCTGGGGGGGTGGTTTCTTGCTTTCTGTCTCTCTGCTCTCTAGTGGGTACACATGCCCTATTACAAAAATCTATCTTAAAAAAAAGATTATTGAGGGACCAGCAGATAGTGTAATGGTTAAGTCGCTGGACTTCCACATAGCTGACTGCAGTTCAAGTCCCAGATCCAGTGGCTTGAAACTCACCCCAGATGCATGTGTGTGTGAGCCCAAAATCCTGGGAAGAGAATGGAGGAAAAGGGGTTGCAATGTGGCATAGCCATCCCCCATTCAGGGTGATTTCTTACTTTCTCTCTCACTGTTTCTGTCTCTCTCTTTCCAGAGAGTGCACACTCCCTAAGGTAAAAACCTCTACAAAAAATAGTAAGAATAATAAAATAAAAGTGATTATCAGGCCAGCAGGTGGAATGATGGTTAAGGTGGCTGGATCCTACATAAATGACTGTGTGGTTCATGTCCTGGACTTAGCAGCTTGGAAAACACACTGGGTACATGTGCATGTATGCCCAAAATCCCAAAGGAGAATAGAGGAGAAGGGATTATGTGTGGCCATCCCTCTGGCAAGCCTATGCACCCTGTGGCAAACTAAAATAAATAAATAAATAAATAAATAAATAATTAAGTGATTATCTGCTTGCATAGCACAGTGGTTACGCACTGTGTATTGGTAGTCAAATCTCACATGGCCATGGCAGTTAGAATCCTGGCCCCAGCAGCTTGAAAAACACACCAGGTGCATGTGTGTGTAAGCCCACAATCTTGATGGGATGGAGAAAGGGTGGATAAAGGATGTGGCATGACCATGCCTCATTAGGAGACTTTCTCTGATAAATTAAAAAGTTATTTTAAAAAAGTGACCATGTATTCACGTTTCAGTGTGAGCACATCCTTCTCTCGGTAAGACCTTATTTTTATGTGTGGCTATCTGGATTCTGCAATGACAGTCTCCTATTGTCTAACTGGACCCTATGGGCTGTAATACAGGGTCATATTAGCTGTACAAAGTGATTTTGCCAAGTAATGCTTCCAACTGATTATGCACACAAATGCAATGCCAGAGCTAATTCTGCAGAAAATCTTTGTCCTGCTTAAGTACATAACAACTGTAGTTCAACTTGACAGCATCAGGATCACCTTGAGAGCTTTTTTCAAATCACAGCTTGCTGGACTCCATTGTAATATTAAGCTTCTGGTAGGTCTGGAGTCCAGAAATTTGTGTTTTGAAGAATTTCTCCAGGCAGTTCTTAAGACCAGTCAGATCTGATCTAAAATAGATAGCAGACAGATCACCCCCTTCACCCCCCACCTCCACACACATACACAGTCTCTCTACCCACCCACCTATCAATCTACCCACCCACCTATCAATCTACCCACCCACCTATCAATCTACCCACTCACCTCAATCTCTCCCTCTGCTTCTACCTCACCAGCCTCTTTGAAAAGAAAGGGCTGGGACGAGCAGTTGGTGTAATGGCTATGTCGCTGGACTCCCATGAAGTCAACCACAGTTTGAGTCCCAGACCCGGTGGCTTAAACTCACACTAGGCACGTGTACGTGCGTGCCCAAGATCCTGAGAGGACAATGGAGGAGAAGGGACTGAGGCGTGGCCATCCCCTCATGATTTGATTCCTGTCTTTTTGTCTCTCTGTCTCTCTCTTTCTGGTGAGTGCACAAACACTATTGCAAAAACCTCTCCAAAAAAAAAAAAAAAAAAGAAAAGAAAAGAAAGAGCTTATTCTAGAGAGAAATTATTACTTTTTTGCTTGTAATAATTTAAACTAAAAATTGGCATGGTTGGCCTTGCCATAAACCCTAAGACAAGTTAGGTTACCTGGAACATCTCATTGATCCCCTCTCCAGTTTGTGCTGAAGTTTCAAAGTACAGGAACCCTTTGCTTTCAGCCCAGAGACGCCCTTCACTTTCATCTATGCAGCGGTGCTTGGTGCAGTCGATCTGAAACAGACAGTGGTGGGCAGAGGATGACTCCGAACACATGTACCCTGCTATTCAACAGGCCAGTCAGGTCTGTATCAGTCCTTTACTGACACAAAAACTCCTCTTAGCCAATCCCGGTGCTACTATATAAATCTACCGAGACCAAAAGGGAGAAAAGATATTAACGCTGAGTACAGACTGATTTTCTGTGGCAACAGGACCAGTGCCTATTCCTCCACTTCTTGCTTCATCCCTCGGGAGACAGCTGCTACTCACTCTGTACAAGCTGCTTCATAGGAGGGCCGTAACCTGCTTTACAGTCTACATTTCACCGAATGGATGCCCCTCTTCCAGTCGGGCCAGAAGGCGGTAATTAGCATCTATCTGCTCTGCCCAGTTATCAACATCCTTCCCCGAGCACACACAAGAAAAAAGTGGATAAAAATCCTGATATATCGGGACCAGCAGGATGCGTGGTGGTTAAAGTGCTGGACACTCCAACACGGCTGATCGTGGTTCAAGTCCTGAATCTGATGACTTGCTTTCTTGTTTCTCCTCTCTCTCTGTCTCTCTCTGGTCACATGAAAATATGAATGAATAAATAGAATTAAAATAAATAGTTCTTTTTTAAAAAAATCTTGATATATCAAGTGGTATTGTTTTTTTTTTTTTTTGGTTTTTGTTTTTTTTTCTTCTTTAGTAGAGAGATTTCTGCTATAGGGCCGTGTGTGCACCAGAGAGACAAAAAGTGAAAAATCACCACCTGTGGGGGATGGCCATGCCACAATCGCTTCTCCTCTACTCTCGTCTCGGGAGTTTAGGCACACATGCACATGTACCAGGCGTGAGTTTTAAGCCACAGAGTCTGGGATTCGAACTGCACGGACTACATGGGAGTCCAGTGACGTAACCATTACGCCATCTGCTGGTCCTACTGTTCTTGTTTAGTTTTGTCTCTGTCTTAGGCTGATGTTTTTTTTTTTTTGGAGAGATTTTTGCTATAGGGCGCGTGCGCTCACCAGACAGACAGACAGAGACATAGAGACAGAAAGCGAGAAATCACCCCCCAGGGGGGGATGGTCACGCCGCAATCCCCTCTCCTCCATTCTCCTCTCAGGATCTTGGGCACACATGCACACGCGCCCGGCGTGAGTTTTAAGCCACCAGGTCCAGGATGCGAACCACGATCGACTACGTGGGAGTCCAGCGACATAGCCATTACGCTAACTGCTGGTTCCCTTAGGCAGATGTATTAAAAGGTTGTTGATTCTTATATTATGGAATAAGGAATTTTTCTTATTTGGTCCCAAAAACTCAGAGCTCCACTCCTCCATTAGAAAGCTGGACATACCATTTCCAGAGCAGTTACCTTGTTGGCACACACGACAAATATAATATTCTCCATATTCCCATGAGGCCCGAGCTCTTGCTTCATTTCGGCCAGCCACGCATCGAGGGCTTCAAATGAGTCCTTCTGCCCAACGTCATACACCAGAATCACGCCCTGTGTGTCCTTGTAAAACTCATTCCGAACCTTCAAAGAAAAGAACAAGTGCACAGAACCCAGGTTTTGTGCTTCCGTAAGAATGTATCTCACAGTCAAACTTAGCCAAGTGTGTTCTTTAGTAGATTCACGGACTGCTATTGTATCTCAGTGTCATCTGGTGTAGAGCTTTCTTCCTTTTTTTTTTTAAAGATACATTAAACAAATAATTTTTTTTAAGTTTATTTCTTTCTTCTATAAGAGAGAAACAGAAAAAGATAGAGACATAGAGACAGACAGGCATCCCCAGAAGGGCCTCATGATGTGACCCACTGCCAGATTCAGTTAGCCTGGACCGTGCACATGTCCAGCATGTACAGTGAGGTGCCGGGATGCAAACCCAGGACTTTCCCACGTGGGCCCTGTTTGCATGACCACTGCACCACCACCTGGCCTCCCAAGCAACTGTCTTTCTTTAAAAAGAATTATTTATTTAATTTTTAAATTATCATCATTTAAAAATTTGCTATAAAGCATGTGCACTCACCTGAGAAAAACAGAGACAGAGAGAGAAAGTGAGAAAGCAAGCTGCCAGATCCAAGACTAGAACTGCACTCAGCCATGTGGGAGTCCAGCACCCCAACCACCATGCCACCTGCTGGCCCCAAACAGCTTTCTAATGCTAGTCCTGTATCTGAAGTTTAATTAAATAGAATACTAAGGGAATTCGGATGACTTCTTCAAGCAGAGATGACAAGCTAGCTCGTTGGCTAGAGAAAGCTATGGGTTTACTACCACTGAGGCTTCTCAGAGACCCTCTAACTGTGTGCTCAGTGGCAGCAAGGCTGGGGGTAAGGTGCAGGCCCCACCAGTCTCCTCGCGGGGCTCCGGCTGACACTTTGCTCTGAGCTTGCGACCTCGCAGACTTCCCTGTCCCAGCAGGTCCTTTGGGGAAACCTGTCAGGAGGACTGGTAACAGTAGAAGCTTCGCTGAAGGACATCAAGGACCTGAGGAAGCCAGGGATCACGGGGTCGGCCAGGGGGCTTCCCTAAACATGATGTGTGTTGAGCAGAGGCAAGAATGGACGCTTGGGGCCTAGATAGAAGATGACAGTTTGGGTCTTGTCAGAGTGGAGGATCTGAGCTACTGTCAGCAAACACTGGACAAATGAATGATCAAGCCTCTTTCAGTGAAAAGACCCTTTGGAAGCAGTGATCAAGGAGTTTCTGTTCATCATACTTTAATTTTTATAAGTTGCTGGAAAGTTGAGGTTACACTGATAGGAGTCTAGTACCTAATGATAGAAAGTAACAGAAATGCTCACTCCTAGGTACTAACAATTCTGGAACGTTGTCTTCAGTTCTCCGCTCCACCTCGGCTAACGAGAGGTCATCCATAAGCAGCTGACTAGGAATGCTGACCGTTCCAGCTGGGGCAGGAATAAAAGTGGTCTTCCCTGGGTAGGAGCAGGCGCACAAAGTATAGAGGCGGCTTTCTCGGAGAAGCACAGATTCAGTCTACGCTGCTTCCAAAACACGAATGGAATCAGCAGTGAAAGTCAAAGGAAGGCAGCCTTCAAGGAGAAGTTGCAGCTAGAGTGTTTTTTTTTTTTTTTAATTCATTTTTTTTCAAAGAATTATTTAATTTTATTTGTTATTATTATTTTTTAAGAGAGATTTTTGGTATAGGGTGCATGTACTCGCCAGAGAGACAGGAAGTGAGAAATCACCCCCAGGGGGATGACCACACGGCAATCCCTTCTCCATTCTGTCAGGATTTTGGGCACACTTGCATTCATGCTTGGTGTGAGTTTTAAGCCACTGGGTCCGGGACTCGAACTATGCTCAAGTACGTGGGAGTCTAGCAATGTAACCGTTACGACGTCATCTGCTCATGCCAGTTATTATTATTTTTTACCTTGCTATAGGCACGTGCACTCAATAAAGAGAGAGAGAGAAAGAGAGGGAAAGTGAGAAAGCAAGCTGCCAGGTCTGAGATTTGAACTGCAGCCCACCATGTGGGAGTCCACTGCTCTAACCATCATGCCACCCGCTGGCCCCTAGAATGCTGAACTCTGTAAGTGATTATCTTATGAAGCAATGAGACCAATGAGTATCTCAAGAGACTCATTCTCTGAACTCATACAACTGACACCACTCAAGCCGTCCAGCTATTATATTGTCCCTAGCCCTACCAACTTGCATAACTCTCACTCATCCATCAACTCGTAGTTTAAATGTTGCTTCCTCACAAATGAGGACTACCTCACCTCCCAGATAAGCTAGATGTGGGTGTCATGCACTCCCGAACATTCTGTCATTTGGTCAGTATGTGTCTTCTCTAACATGTTTATATTCATTGAGGACAGGGACTCTGTGTTCCAGTGCACAGCACGCAGGCCGGAAATGCACAGTCCTGGGCCGCATATAGGTCCTGTGAGTAAATGATGACCACTGTTCAGGAACGCTCCAGAAAGAAATCTTAAATGGGCAAGGTCTAGCCCACATTAATTCTCAGGCACCTTCTAACTCTCCACTTACATGACTTTAGTGTAATCAAAGATTATATTAGTGGGGCCAGCAGGTGGCATGGTGGTTGGCGGGGCTAGACTCCGCGGTTTGAGTCCTGGACTCCCACATAGTCGACTGTGGTTCGCGTCCCGGACCCGGTGGCTTAAACTCACGCCGGGTGCGTGTGCGTGCGTGCCCAAGATCCCGAGAGGAGAATGGAGGAGAAGGGATTGCAGCGTGGCCATCCCCACTGGGGAGTGATTTCTCGCTTTCTGTCTCTCTGTCTCTCTCTGTCTGTCTGGCGGGCGCACATGCCCTATAGCGAAAACCTCTCCAAAAAAAAAAAAAAAAAAGAGCGTCACTCAGACACTACACACAGACAAATCAAAATGGAAAGGTCTCAAAGAACATTTTGAAAATACACTGAACTGAATAAAAATGAAAATACAACCTGTGGAAATGTGTGGGACACAAAGCAGCGCTGAGAGGGAAATGTGCAGTACCAAATGCATGGACGTGAAGAGTGGAAAGTCTGGAATCAGTAAGCTAAGCTCCTACAAAGGCCGGCAGGTGGCATGGTGGTTAAGGCACTGGATTCCCACACGGGCACCCACAGTTCAAGTCCCAGACCTGGTGGCTTGAGAATCACATAAGGCGTGTGTGCATGCGTGCCCAACATCCCAGGAGACAAGAAGGGGCTGTGGCGTGGTCATTTCCCTGGGGGGAGGTGGATTTCTCACTTTCCCTCTCACTGTCTCACTCCCGTAAATGCACATCCACTATGGCAAAAACCTTAAAAACAAAAACAAAAACAAAAACAAAAAGACCAGGACCAAAAGAACAAAGTAAACCCAACGAATGCAGAAGGAAGGAAATCATAAGTGCAAGGGTGGAAGTGAAACAGCCAAATAGAAGAGGAGACAGCGCCTCCTTCGGGAAAATGAAAAAGCCCCAGGAAGAAACAGCAGAGCAGGTGGACGACATTCACTGGGGGGTAGGCAGACAAACGTAAAACATGAGTGGGGTGCTTGCACTCTCCTGGGGCAAGAATACGTCTGACCGGGAATGAGCAGGAAATATGCTACCCTGCTGTGAAAGAAGTCGTGTCACTGAGTTCTTAAGTCCAAATAAGAATTTCATTATCCTTTCACATTTTGGACTAAGGAATAAAGTAAACCATGAAGTCCTTGGAAGCCTAACACGTGTTATCTAGGCCCAGCTGCGGTAGCCCTGGTGGTAGGGGCTGCGGCACGATGCTGGAGCCCACGGAAGGCCTGGGTTCAGATACCGCACCACCTAAACACACTGGGCGTGGCAGTGCAGGCCTGAACCCTCGCCAGCTGGAAGGCTGGGACTCCCTCTCATTTCCTCTTGCTCTTTCTTTCTCCCACTTCTCCTCTTTCTTACTCCTTTTTTTTTTAGAGAGATTTTTGCTATAGGGTGCTTGCCCTCACCAGAGAGACAGAGAGAGACACAGAGACAGAAAACAAGAAATCGCCCACCGGGGGGATGGCCACACCACAGTCTGTTCTCCTCCATTCTCCTCTCAGAAATTTGGGCGCTCACACACATGTGCCCAGTGTGAGTTTTAAGCTGCCAGGTCCAGGACTCAAACCACGGTCAATCACATGGGAGTCCAGCAACGTAATAATTATGCCACCTGCTGGTCCCTCTCTTATTTCTTATGCAAGTGTTTGAAACATTAGCAATTAACTTGCCCTCCCCTATTTCAGGGGCTGGCATGAAAGAGCAACAGGTGTCTGTTAAGACTCAGAAGGCAAGCCATGAACATGAGCTACATTCACCTACTTTCGGACATGATTTGAATACTGGTTGTTTCTGATCATTCAGGACCTTTCCCCAAACCCACCAATAATATTAGATGTCGGTTTTCTCAGAAAGGCTTTCTTACCTCATAGAAGAAGGGATGTCCAGCCATATCAAAGATGTTAACTTTGATTTCTCTGTCTCTGACTTGTACCCTGAAATGTTCAAATGGAAACAGCCAAAGAAGGTCATGATTTCCACATTTACATGAATATAATTTATGTTACTTATGAATTTCAAAAGGGTACGTGTGACATTAAAAGAGGCTTTCTTAGTGCTTCTTTTTGCTTCCAAATAATCCTCACAGTACAGGCCAGTAATTTGGCAGGTGATCCTGCGTCCTTATGTCAAGAACGCTGGGCCTACTTGGAGAAAACACCTCATTCACCTTCACCCAGGATACTTCCGTCCCTAGCCCTCGGCCAACCATCAGCAGCTATTAGCTGGCAAGTGGCGTGGTGGTTAAGGCCACAGGACTCCCACATGGCCGACTGTGGTTCAAGTCCCAGACCTGGTGGCTGCTTTCTCACTAACCTCCCCACTACTCTATCCCTCTCTGGTCAAATTAAAATAAATAAATAAAGTAAAATAAAATAATTATTAAAAAAAAACAGATTAAAAAAAGAAAAATCAATCGGCCATGTGGGAGTGCAGTGACATAACCACTTTGCCATCTGCTGGCCTCTACACTTCGGATATTAAAGTGAAGAACATGTGCCTGAGCGTGCTGGCAGCTGTGCAGAGCCCACTGAGAAGACTACGGCTGACAGGTCGAGGGCAAGGGGGCAGTCCTGTCTACCCACACCCTGCCCCAGCGGCAGCCTCTCTGAAGCCCAGCTGCATCACCCTTGTAACTGGATAATGTGTACTGATGAGTATCCCTTTTGTCTCCTATTTTGTTTGAGGTGGTTTGACATTGGTTTCTGTCAACTATATCCTCCTGACTCACTGTGAGATAAACATCATTTTCAGAAAATATTTCAGCCAGAAACAGAACAGTCTGTGGAATAAAACACAGTTCTATGGCACAGTATGCTAACACGCTTTTCTTCGATAAATAAACTAGCTACTTAAATAAATGGGTGTAAACCCAAACTACCTTAGGCAGGATGTATTACCATCTCATGGATGAAATTCTGTGCCCTGAAGCAGGTAAGTAAAACTAGTAAGGAAGAAATAGGGATTTCAAACAAAGAGGGTTGTATATTTCATAGTCAAGAGCTATAATTTTCTTTATTTTTTTTCTTTTTTGGCCAGAGCGCAGGTGTGCTCAATGGACAGAGACAGAGAGAGACAGTGAGAGGGAGAGTGAGAAATCACTGTGCAAGGGGATGGCCACGCTGTACTCCACCTCTTCCAGGCTCCTCTCGGAATGTTGGGCATGCACGCACATGCGCCTGGTGCGATTTTCTTTTTTTTCATCTTAGCAGTTTTTAATCAAAGTTGTATATATGATTATTTCACTCCTGCCATCTTCTCAATCGTTTCTTCCTTATATTTGCCCTTTTCCTTTCCTACTTGGCAAGACTTGGACCCCTTTCAGGGATCTTTTGGGGTCTTTGCCCAGTGTGAGTCCAGTGAGAACGCCCTTGCTGGGGGATGCCCAAAGGACATCTGTGCCTCAGCCTCTCCTGCTGCACTCACTCAACGCAGACGACAAGCTCCTTCCTGTAAACCTGCACTACTCTGCCAGTGTGCTGACCTTCCCAGTGTCCTCGCACAACCTGAACTCATCACCCTTTCAGACGGGCAGAGGTCGCACATCGGACTCCTGCCTCCGCTCTTTGGAAAGGGGGAGGACATGACCCTCCTGCGGATGTGGGAAGGGGCACTGAAATGCCTTCTACGGTTCTTGCTTCAGTCAGAAGTGTCCTTTCTCCCACAAAAGGACTGAACTTCATTTTGGCCACTGCCACTCTGGCGATGACTGCAGAAGAGAAAACTTTTTTTGTTTGTTTTAAGAGAGAGATTTTTACTATAGGGGACATGCACTCACCAGAGAGACAGAGAGAGACAGAGAAACAGAAAGCGAGAAATCCCCTCCCGGGGAGATGCCACTCTGCAATCTCTTCTCCTTTGGGCAGGCACACATACATGCCTGGTGTGACTTTTAAGTGACTTGGAACAACACTTGAACCACGGTCAACTACGTGGGAGTCCAGCAACGTAACCATTATGCCATCTGCTCATCCCCCGGAGTGATTTTCTTCTTCTTCTTCTTTTTTTTTTTTTCTTTTTTAGGAGAGTTGTTTTTTTTTGCTATAGGGTGTGTCTGCTCACCAGAAAGGCAGAGAGACAGAAAGAGAAAAATCTTCCCCCAGGAGGATGGCTATGCCGCAATCCCTTCTCCTCCATTCTCCTCTCGGGATCTTGGGCACGCCCACATAAGCGCCTGGCATGAGTTTAAGCCCCCAGGTCCAGGACGCGAACCGTGGTTGACTACATGGGAGTCCAGCAACAAAGCCATTATGCCAACTGCTGGTCCTGGCCCTGGCATGATTTTCAAGTCACCAGGTCTTGGATTTGCAAAATGGCCAGCCATGGGAGAGTCCAGTGACATAACCACTACACCACATGCTGGCCCACTAATTTTTACTCTTTAACAAAAACTTGCAGAACTAACCTCTGCAATTGTGAGTTGAAAAATGGTGAAATAAGAGCAGAATACACAGAACTCTTGTTTTACTTTACCACTCACATGAGCCACTTCGATTACAGCCATAAAGGATACAACTGACTTGACTCGGGCTCTCACATCATCAACATTCTGCTGCAGATACACCCCACCACTTTAGTGGACCTTCTTGAACACCGTCTTCATAAGCTCAGCACCCTCTTTAGATGCAGCTATCTTACCTATCAACAAGTATTTATCAAGTACACATCAGTTCCAAGCACTATGCCAGGCATTTGGGGAAAGTGTGTATCAACAACCCCTCCTGCAGGGCATGTGTAATCTAGCAAGAAACACTGAACATGGACAAAGTAACAACACAATGCAATTTATGTAAGTATCATAAGTAGCACACAGAATTTTAAGATTTCTGTCATATGCACCCTAAGGAGTCCCCACTGACAAAGGGGGTGTTTAGAAGGTCTTGTGGGACCGGAAGCATTTAACACCCTGAAGAACTTGGCAGGTGAAGGGATGGGGGAAAGGACACTCCGAGCAGGCAGAATGAATGACCGCACCAGACAGGCAGGTAGGAGGACAGCGTGTCAGTGTGGAAGGGCAGCCGAGTCTGTTAAGGGAGGTAATAAGATAAAAAGGGAGGAGCATGGGGGGTCAGAACAGTGAGTCCCCCAAGTTCTGTGTCTAAGGAGTGCGGTGCCTACCTCGGTACTACTCTTTGGTGACGTTATTTCCTACTAATTTAAACCCATCTCCCTAAGTTCAACCCACTCCTGACACCTCTGAATAAATTCCCACTTATTCCCTTTACTCTTCCCAGATCGTTTTTGCTGGATTCCAATAAACTAAAGATCGTATATCAGTAAGGGAAGTTCTCCGGTAAAAAATTTTCCACACAATATTTTACTATTTAGATAGACTATTTCAAAATGGTAGAAAAACATACCTGCTGATAGGACCTGGTTATTAGAAACGTGTTTCCTGCAAAGTTCATCCGCCAGTTGGGCTTTGGGTTGACTCGCTCACTGTTCACCTACACCTAACACAGGTCTGCTGAGGGGAAGGTGCTCATTCATTGGTTGGATGAAGGAACAGTGTGACACTACATACTTGGAAAGGCCTACCCCCCCATTTATCCTCAAAGTCCCTACTTCAAGATATCTGTTTAAGTGCACTGATGGAAATGTAGGTCGTTAAGGGTTCTGAATGTCTGTGTAATTTACAAGCCCAGGGAAACAGTATACTCACTTTGTTACTCCATAGTCAATTCCAATTGTTGCAAGGTATTTAGACACAAATCTTTTCTCACAGTACCGCTTTATAATACAGCTCTAAAAAGGTAAAAATACAATTAGTTAATATATACTGGGAACATAGACAAAATTAGCATGTTTCTTTGTTATGGTTCTTTACTTACCATTATGAAAAAAGAAAGCATTTTCAAAAGCCAAAACTATAGAATAACTGAAACAAATACTAAAAACAATAATTTTTCTTTTTCTTTTTAATTTTGCCAGAGGACATGTGTGCTCACTGGAGAGACAGAAGGAGGGAAAGTGAGAAAGCACACCCCACAGGGAATGGTCACCCCACAATCCCTTCTCCTCCACTTCTCCCTCCTGTAGAGATTCTGGGCATGTTCACGTGCAGCTTGAGTGTTCTTCAAGTTGCCAGGTTCAGGACTTGAACCACGTGGTCGGTCATGTGGGATCCAGCTGCCTTAACCACCAGGCCACAAGCTAGCCTACAAGGATTTTAAAGAAAAAATATTTTTTTTTAAAAAGAATTACTTATTTATTTTTATTTATTTATTTATTTTCCTTTTAATTTGTTACAGGACATGTGCACTCACCAGAGAGAGAGAGCAACACAGAAAAGGCAAGTCCTGTCCAGGACTTGAACCGCAGCTGGCCATACACGAGTCCAGTGCCTTAACCACCCCGCCATCTGCTGGCCCCAAGAAAAACTATTTTTAAAGTCTTCCCTTAGTGCTAAATATGGCTACTTTTTCTGTTTGGTTCTCAATCCTTATGTTCTCTTTTGAAGACATTTCCTATTCTTATACTTTCAATGATGCCAACAAAATATCTGTTAGCCGTGACCTCCCTCCAAGACCAGACCCACATCTCCAAATGCCCATCAGACAACTTTCTACTTAGATGCGCTGCTGTCACCTCAAATTCAATGTACAGAAATGATCTAATCTTACCCACGAAAGCAGCTACCCTGCTGATAACCTAGTTCTATTTTTTTAAATGTTTATTTATTTATTATTGTTGTTATTTTTCCATTTGCTATAGAACACATGTGCTCACAAAAGAGAGAAACAGAAAGTGGAAAGAAAGGGAAAGTGGGGAAGAAGCAGCCAGGTCTGGGACTAGAACCATGGTTGGCCATGTGAGAGTCCAGTGTCTCAACCACCACACCACCTGCTGGACCCTGTTCTGTTAATAAGACCATTATCTTGTTTGAGAGGAAGGATGAAAGTGTTGAAGGCCTGTTTGATTCTGGGCCTTTCTAAATTTTCCTTTGAGTGCTTCTTCCATCTTCCCTTTTGTTCCAGTTCCCATTGATAACTCTTCAGTTTAGGTCCCCATCATCTGCTCCCGAGAAAACAACAGGAAATTCTTTACCAGTCTTTCTGCCTCCTTCCCTCTCAGCTCCAACCAGTACTGCACACCACTAACCATATTTCACTTCGCTAACTCAAAAATCTGCAGTGGCTTCTCACTGCCACAAGTTTGAAATGGAAGTTTCTTTGCCCCCTTTTCAAGGTCCTCCATAATCGGGCACTAATCTGTCTTCTGTGTAAACTCTTCGATATCAACTTCCCATTTCTGTAAATCTGACAACCCAAATTCCCAATTTTTTTTTTATTACTTTTCCCTCTACTAGGAATGAGCTTTCTCCCATCTTTCCAAATCTTACCTAAACTTTAAGGCCCAGATCAAATTCTGCACACTCAGGTTACCAGAAATTGAAATGACCCAAATTAGAATTTCTGCGTACACTTTCTACATCTGAACTCCTGAAGCACTTTACCTGAATACTGTTATACACACTACACGCGCACCCTCCCCTACCGAGTGCCATCAGTCACACTTATCATTTCACACGTATGCATTTATCTTGTCTCTTCAGTTAGACAATAAACTACTTGAGGATGAGTGTCCAGTACCTTGTAGCAACCTGTTGAGTGCCTTTCACACAGTATGAAGGGGTGACAACCACTGAAGGACTCTAAGAATCAATTAGGTTAAGAGAAGCTTCTTTTTTTAATTAAAAAAAAATTATATTTATTTATTTATTTATTATTATAAAATTTGCTATAGAGCACATGAGCTCACCAGAGAGAGAGAGAGGGGGAAAGTAAGAAAACAAAGAGCCAGGTCTGGGGCTCAAACCATGGTTGTTCATGTGGGAGTCCAGCACCTCAACCACCAAGCCACCTGTTGGCACCAGGTTGGTTCTCATTAAGAATGAGAATGAGGGACCAGCAGTTAGCATAATGGCTATGTTGCTGGACTCCCATGTAGTCGACCGTGGTTTGAGTCCCAGACCCAGTGGCTTAAACTCACGCCAGATGCATGTGTGTGCGTGCCCAAGATCCCGAGAGGAGAATGGAGGAGAAGGGATTGTGGCATGGCCATCCCCCCTGGGGGGTGATTTCTCACTTTCTGTCTCTCTGTCTCTTTCTGGCGAGCGCACGCAGCACCCTATAGCAAAAATCTCTCTCAAAAAAAAAAAAAAAAGAATGAGAATGAAAAACCAATTTTAAATGACTTACATACTAATAATAATTCTCAGCCCTTGTGTAAATTGTAAGTCATCTGAAGTGCTGGTAATGAAGTTTATTCTGCTCAAATCCTTTCCTGATGAGCCTCAATCCAAATTAAATAAACAGGATAGTCAATTTTAAAGTATTTAATAAATTTATTGTAAACTGAAGGAAAAACTTCTTTGGAGTCACTACTGCTCAGAGATTATACTTTTAAAGACATTTTATAGACTGAAAATACTTCTCAAATGTTTTCTCTCGCAGTATCCTAATAAAATAAATACAGCCTTTTACAAAGTTATTCATGAGATTAAGGACTCTGGAAGCCCATTAAGTCTAGTACACTAGCTAAGCTCAGTGTTTATAAAGATACATGTTTAAGTAACAATTTTAACAACCATTTCTTATAACACAAGACAGGGTTCTTGTTCCTTAGGATCTTACCAGCCAAGTTAAACATCATGAATACAGAGAGAACAAATAAAATTGAATGAATACAAAACTAAGTACACCTAATATTAACTGTGCAAGCAAACTGATTTTTAGTTAAATAAGTTTCCCATATAAAGTATATTAATAATGAATACTGACAGGATTCAAATGTTAATAAAAAGGCAAGCTGGTAACGACATGGACAGTGGTTTGAGATGCTGGATTAAAAACAATTCTTTTTTCTGAACCTATATAAAAAAAAAAAAAACTACATATTCATTCATTCAACAACTAGTGACTTTATAACCTAAGGCACTGAGATATGAAGGCAGGATTGAATCTTTGCCATTTATTGGAAAAGAGTAGCACTAAATAATTATGCAAGTAAGTCTTCAAATTGTGTTGAGATAAATGCCACAAAATTATACTACATTCTAAGAGGATGCAATGAGAACCTAATTTCTTTTCAATGAGATTAGAAATATGTGTACAAAAAAAATGGTACTGAATGAGATTAAAAACAGTGAACATAAAATTCGAACATGAATGTTTTTATGTTTAAAAATTTTAATCTGTATATCTTATTTTCCAAATTCTTAAAATGTAGTTAAAATTCTGTATAAAGCAAAACAGTAGGATTTGTTTGTTTCTGTTTGTTTTGATTTGCAGTTTTTGCTATAGGGCCTATATGCTCACCAAAGAGAGACAGAGAAGGAAAGTAAGAAATCACCCTGTAGGGGAGATGGCCACACCGCAATTCCTTCTGCTCCATTCTCCTTTGGGGGTTTTGGGCATGCACATGTACACAGCCTGACTCCCAAGCCACCAGGTCCAGGACTTGAGCTGCACAGACAACCAGGTGGGATCCAGTACCTTAACTTCCATGCCAAATAGTAAGTTTTCGAAAAATTACACTAAATTTGTTTTTGAGAAAGGAATACAATAGAAGCTCACCCATAGCCAAATAGTAAGTAGCCCGTTGTTCCAACAGTGCTTATTAAATGGTCTCTACTTCCTCAACATTTTACTGTATTTGTTGAATAAACGGAATTTCCTCATGTGTTTGGGTTTATTTCTGGATTTCGAGGTGTCAATATTCCCTTTCTAGGGAACCAGCAGTTAGCGTAATGGCTATGTCGCTGGACTCCCACGTAGTCGACCACGGTTCGAGTCCCGGACCCGGTGGCTTAAAACTCACGCCGGGCGCGTGTGCGTACGTGCCCAAGATCCTGAGAGAATGGAGGAGAAGGGATTGTGGCGTGACCATCCCCCCTGGGGGGGTGATTTCTCACTTTCTGTCTCTATGTCTCTCTCTGTCTGGCAAGCGCACGTGCCCTATAGCGAAAAACCTCTCCCCCCCCCAAAAAAAATTCCCTTTCTAGTATCAAGAGGAAAAGTTTGGTAACTTTAAAATATTTTTAGATATCTGGTAGAATTAGTCTCCTCTCATTTCTCTTCATTTTTAAAATAATTTTCTTGGTTATCTTCACATTTAACTTCTCATAAAGTCTCTAGTAACTTTTTATTATGTGCTAAAAAGAAAAATACCTTATTAGTATTTTGACTGAAATTGAATTACATTTATTGGGTTGTTGGAAAAGTCAAGATACATTTTGCATAGAAAAACATAGAAAAAACACACCATGACTTTCCCAACAACTCAATAGATTATTATATATACTTGATATCTTTACAATATTGAGGGATCCTAAGGGAAAAGAACACCTTCCCACTTGATGGAATAATTTTGTTGGCTCACAGAGCTTGGAATTTTTTTTAAAAAGAATCATTTTATTTAACTTTATTCACTTTAATTTGACCAGCGAGGGACAGAATGAGAGCGAGAGAGAGAGGAAGAGAAAGAGAGAAAGTGAGAAAGTAAGCCACCAGGTCTAGGATTTAGCCACCAGGTCCGAGATTCGAACCACAGTCAGCCATATAAGGAGTCCAGTGCCCTTAATCACCATGCCACTTGCCGACTCTCAGAACTTAAAATTTTTCTTAATAAATATTCCTACCTATTTTTTAAAGTTTAAACCTAGGTCGTTTATTTGGGTTGTGATTGTAAATTAAAATTGTTTTTCTTAAAAATTTTTTTTCCTTTACTCATGGTAGTACATGCATCTGAGAGTGAGAATGAGAGAGGAGCACCCTCCACTGGTCTCTGTGGGTCTGCTCATTCCCTGATTCCCTTCCTCCAGCTTTCCAGCCCCGTGCATGCTAGTATGTTTCACGCCAGCCAGGCCAGGGATTCAAACCATGGTTACCATGTAGAATTTGACTATTCTTGCGCAGGACATACCACTGTACCACAAAGACGACTCAGCTACTTATTTTTTTTTTTTAAAGAGATATTTTTGCTATAGGGTGTGGATGCTCGCCAGAGACAAACAGAAATCTACCTCCCCACCTCCCCACCCCTGGTGGCCAAGCCACAATCCCTTCTCTTCCATTCTCCTCCTGGGATTTTGGGCATGCATGCACATGCATCTGGTGTAAGGTTTTTTTTTGTTTGTTTGTTTTTGGTTTTGTTTTTGTTTTTTAGAGATTTTTGCTATAGGGCACGTGCTCTCGCCAGAGAGGCAGAAAGCGAGAAATCACCCCTTAGGGGGGACAGCCATGCAGCAATCCCCTTTCCTCCATTCTCTTCTCAGGATTTTGGGCATGAACATGCACCTGGAGTAAGGTTTGAGCCACGGGTGCTCAAACGACGGTGGACTACATGGGAGTCCAGTAACGTAACCATTACACCATCTGCTGGTCCCGCGCCCAGTGTAAGTTTTAAGCAGCTGGGTCCAAGACTCCAACTGTGATTGACTACGTGGGAGTCCAGCGACATAACCATCATGCCATTTGCTGGTCCCAAGTCAACTCAGTTTTACAATGATCTGTTCCAAGTGAATAAAATTTGGGTATTACAAAGTTATTAATATGTGAGTATTAATTTTATCTGTTGAATTTTCTTATTGTCTCTAATAGTTTTTTCGTTAATTCACATTGGGTTTCCAGATAAACAACAGTATCACTAGGAAATAATGATACATTTTGTCATCTCCTTCCTAATCTTTTATGTTTCTTTCTCTTGTTTCATTGCATAGGCTAATAAATCTAGAATGATATTAAAGAAATGTGGTGACACTGAACATTTAGGGTTGCTTCTAGCACTGCACCATTAGGCATAGTGAAATTACAAAAGTGACACAGTTGAATGCAGAACCTAAGGGGCTCCTTCTTTTCGTTTAATACCTGGCACATAGCTGACATACGCTGAATGTGGACTTTTAGTGAATTAACACTAACATTTACATACACGCAGACACCTATGTTGTACAGGATCGTGTTAAATAAAGAACACCTAATAAACCTTTATTGAGCATCTCTTGCGTGCAGGGTACTAGCCTAAACACTCCCATTAACCATCCTTTGGCGTTTTGACCCTAGTGAAGTTGATTTAACAGCATATGCTGATGGAAAGGGCACTGCAGTAGGAGCGTGAAGACTCAGGTTCTAATCCCATCTGTATCACTGATTTGATGACCGTGGAGGTTCTTACTAACGGCTTCTACATACGTAGGAGAGGCAATTGGGGTGAGGAGGAGGCAGTCCTGGAATTCATTCAGGGAAAGGCCTTCTCTCATCTCTGACTTCCCCTCCCCACATACTAAGGGAGAGTGTATAGCTGATACCCGGCGATGCAGCAGAGAGAATGGCATGGAACTAAGGCTTTTCTGAGGGCATGGACGTGGTGGCACTACCAGAAATAAATGTCATCCTCTGCTCCACCTCCGCAGTGAACCACGTTGGCCCCAGTTACTCTCGCAGGAGGCCAATCCAGGTTCTGGGCTGCCAAGCAACATTTTACTAATCCCAACTGCCCCTGCACCCCAGTAAGTTCCAAGGCTCCCCGGTACAGCTGCGGGTAACTAAACTTTCCTCTCCCCCTCCAGCTCCGGGACGGGTCACCTAGAACGCAGATATGGTACTGAAACAGACGACGTGACAACGGGACCTAGGCCTCCTTACTCTCTGGGGTCCACTGAAGGCTCAGAGGCTACCCCAGAGAAGGACGTCGGTGCCGGAGGAGGCAACCCAGAGGTCACAAAGGTGGGGACAGTTTTCCAGGCCAAGCCGCAGCCCCTCGGAGGAGACCCGTACCGGCTCGGGGGCGGGGAGAAGGCCGGGCCCCGGGCTGTTGAGTGGCCGCCCTTCCAGCCAATGGGCACGTCGCCCCGGCGCGCCGAGGTCCCGCCCTCCGGCGCGTTGTACTCACTTTCCCCACTTCGGCGTTGCCCATGGAGATGACTTTGATGCGGAGGGACTTGCCCGGCTCCTTCCGCTTCGGCATGTTGGCCTCCATTGCCCTCGCTCTCTCGGGGCCACTCGCCTCGGTCTCTCGTTGTGCACCGAGCTGGCCCGTCCCTCAGGCCTCCTCGGCCAATGGCGGAACCGCTGCTCTCGTCACCGCCGCGGCCCCGCGGCTCGCCATTCCCGCGGCTGCCTGGCAGCAGGTGCTGGCAGTTGGGAGCACCCGGAGCCGGGGGAGGGAGAAGGGAGTCTCGCGATGCTAGAGCGGCGGCTGGCGTGACCGCCAGG